TCTATTGTTTCAAAACTTAAAATAGCAAACATAAAATTTAGAAATTAACAACAACCTCTGATGAATTTAAAATCTGCAATTAACACCCGTGATGTGTAAAAATTATAGAAACACTCTCAAAAGTTCAAGTAACAAAAAACACCCTGAAATTCTAAAATTTCAAAACTTATAAACAGCAAAGATAAATTCAAAGGACTACCATTAGGCACCTGAAATATTAAAATTTATAAAATAAATAACCTCAAAGTTATAAAAATTATAAAAAAAAACTTCTTCAAAAGTTAAAAATCACATAAAATCCTAAAATTTCAAAACCTATAACAAATACATATCAGATCTAGAAAATATTAGCAGTCCATTGAAAGTTTGAATTTTACAAAAAATAATCCAAGGTTTTAATAATTATAAAAAATATCCTCAAATGTTTAGAGTTGCAAAAAACTTACCACCAATGCATGAGGCGTGAACATTAAAAGCATCCAACTTAAAATTTAAACTTTCAAAATTTGAAAAACACGCCCTCAAAAATTCAAAATCACAAAAAAAATACTAAAATTTTAAAACTAGCAAAAAAAAGTAGTTGTTTGATATTCTTAATTTCATTAAGATATATAAATTTAACTTAAAATTTAGGGTTCATTCCAATTTAGGAACTTGGTACCAAGCACAAGTATTTATGCTTGGTAGTGAGATGGTTCATTTTCATCCACTCATTTAAATGTGGGATCATATTCACGTGGGTTGGAGCGAGGATGGAAACAAGACATTTCACTACTAAGCACAAAATTTATGCTACATATCAATGCTATCTTTGAGATTTGTACGAGTCTTCGTTTGTATTATATTATGCTAGCACAAATCTCAATGCAAAATCAATGGATAAAAAAGCTGGTAGCTAGACATCAGGGGGGGGCCATATTCCACTTAATTTTGGGAGCTTCTTCCTCTCTCTCTCTCTCTCTCTCTCTCATATTATGATATATTATTATATATATATATATATATATATATATATATATATATGGGTATGCTTTGTACCAAGCACAAATTTTATCCTTGGTAGTGATGTGGCACATACCCTCCACTCATTCAAATGGGATCATATTCACATGGGTTGATGAGTGCATGGAGTATGCAACCATTTGAATGAGTGGATGAGATTATGTCACATCACTACAAAGCACAACTTTCTGTGCTTAGTACAAAGATTATCCATTTTTCTATTAATATATATACTATATATATATTATATAATATATATATAATATATATATATAATATTATTATAATATTTATAATATATATATATATATATTGAAAAATGGGTATGCTCTGGTACCATCACAAATTTTGTGCTTGGTAGTGGAGGTGCCTATTCTCATCCACTCATTCTAATTCTCAACCTCACCCAACCCATATGAATATGGCTCGATTTTAATGAGTGAAGGGGGATAT